GATGAAATCGATTTCGGCTTTTTTTGTAATGTCCGTTACACTATTTTATTGCGTTTTACACATTTCGAACTTGTCCACAAAATGCATATTGAGATTACCTTACAGCTCAGATTTTAACTTGTTTGCATGTTTTTTTTTCGGAATCAAATCTTAATTTTACTACTCTATTTTTTATTTCATTTATTTATATCAAACTACAGGCGTTTTGATAGTTATCATTAGTCCTTTAGATGACTTCGGGTTTCACAGAGAGGAGAAACATCAAAGCCACAAAAAGGTGGAGAGGGGGAACAGAAGAGAGTGATTCACAGATGTAAAAGAGGCAGACAGACACAAAGGTAGAGGAAAAGGTAAGCTGAGTACAGCGGAAATTGTTGAATATAACAAACAGTGGGGGCATTGTTAGCTTGAAGTGAGAATTCAGCTGCCAGTAGATAGACTTTTGGCTGCATGGGTCTACGTTACTCAGGGTGCATTACGTGGAGGTAGGTCTATCACACACCCCGTTTTTGGTAACATGAAGTTGTATCCTCAGCCACAGTTTCGATAGTGCTGACAAGGTGCGAATAGTCAGCAAATGAGTTCGAGAAAGTTTGATCTAGGTAATACTTGCATGCATTTTCCAATCGTAAAAGCTCTTGAATTAGTTGCTAGAGCTCCAGACCACTGTCGCGCATGCAGATTCAGCTGTTACTGAGCTATGATCCTCAACTTCACACCCACACTGGAAGCCCTTATGTTTGTATTTTTCGGATATCTAAATCACTCAGTCATTAGTACCTCAATAGAAAAACTCGTCAAAGCCTTTTTCTGGGCATTCTTTTTGGCAAAGAAAGAATTCAATAGCTTCATGTTACATTGATAGCAGAAGACATGAAGTCTTGCTCCTTTTCCAGACGGTTCATCTGAACCCAGAATGTCGTCTGCGAGAGATGAAAGGGAGGAGTATGAATTGGGCCCAGGTCTTCATTCATAGCCTACTTTAATTAAAGGCTTCGGATTTTCTGATAGAGTTCTGCTTGTTCTGCTTGTATCATCTTTTTTCTCTTACACAGGGTCAACGTTTGTGATGTCGAATGCGAGGTCGCCGACTTTGAATTATTTCGGTTCTGCCCTTGAACCCAAAGCATGGGACTTTGCGGTGATTTATGTAATAACGAGACTCCAAAATACTTTGTTTAATAGTTTGTTTTGTCATGTGCTGCATAAAGTTCAATTCTTTGGCGTTGTAATGCTGGTTGCGTAAACTTTAGTCTCGATAACCTCAGCACTGCACTTGTTTCGGGGTTCGAACTAAATGCTTCAGCCATAGCCACCAATTTTCATTGTATCAAAATTTCGTTATGTTGACATAATACATGTTATATTGCTTAATCATAATAAATAATTAATTGAAAGGTAGAAAAGGAGAAGGCGTGCATTTAATTACGTTATGGGATGAGGATTCAGAGCTAATGCAGATCTGAAGGAAAGTTCGTTCAACATTTTGGAAAGTGCTTCTTTGCTAAACGCTTTGTCAGCCTCAGTTTAGAAGTAAAATGAGTTGCGTCAAAATCATTGAGAAATTCAAGTTGCAAAAGGTGTTAATTGCATGACGTTGTTTCTGTTTATTCGGTTTGAAATATCAGTTGAATGGAAGGAAGATTAGCTGTGAGAAGTTATGGTTTCTTCAGTTAATTATATTTGCCATTTTTTAAGAAGATTTGACTTGAGATCTTCTGCTTGTGTGTGAGGGTGGAGAGTCGATAATCAAGTGGCTCTAATCAAACACCCTGTCTGTTAAATATGCCCTAAAGATCACGATCATCAAAGGTAAAAATGACGAGGAAAAGGAGTTGAATGTTTTCTCCTATGATGCAATAAAGGTTAGGTAAGACCTCTTGCAACTAATCTAGCATACAGAGAGTTGAATATCTCTTTTTGGCTAATTTTATTGATAATACAATTCTCTGAATGTACATATGCGTATCGAACTCGTGTAGTGGTAAAATGTGTGGCTGTCATCACCACTTAATTGGAGTCGTTATGGCATGAATTAACAATTAAACGGGCATGGGGTTAGAGGAGGGTGAATAATTCGTAACATGGGGGAGCTGTAGAAGGCGAAGTAATAGCTATGGAAGAGGATAGGTCCTCCTGTACAGGTGAATGCGAATAATTCTGTTTTGAAAAGGCCAACGATAGGATAAGTATTTGTAAGAAGGAGTAGATCGAGGAAAATTGGATACTGAAATGATATATAAGATAATATGTGATTGATAAATCGATCTGCACGCACATTCTCTCATTTCACATCCAACAAGTATTCAGCTGAAAATCCGATTCGTATATTTCAGATTCAGGGGGCCAAATTGAAAGTTCTTCCTTTCTAATCCACCTTTGTGTTTCGAGAAAACTGAATAATCTTCGGTTTAAATCTGGGCTGAATGATTAATTTTGAAATTTGATATGGTAGACTTCTCTACACCCAGAGTGTTTTCGCTAATTTTTACAGTATTCATTAAACTTGGATTCTGCTTGCTTATTCATTTTTCCAAAAGTGAATAGATTTTCTAATTTCAACGTTGTTTAATACGAGTCATGGGATATTTAGTAATACTTCAAAGGTAATTAATGAAATCCATACTTCCAAATAGCACGAAGGCTTAACAAATCCCCAAAAATATCACTGTGAGTAATTCCCTTTATTGACAGAGTTTTCTGGTTAGTTAAATTTCAATTTAGTTTGCTTTACTAACTTGTAAAGGCAGTTTAATGAATCAAATTTTCATCTGTATTCCTGGATATATTGGCTAGTACGATATAAGGTGAGGTGGCCTTTTGTTCTGAGCGATTATGTGTGAATAGGCTTTTCATGATGTTTATTACATTTTTTCGATATAATGTTGTTATGACTTTCGTCTTCACGAGTTTATTGTATATGAGGGAAATAATGTAACTCTCACTCTATACTCAACGAATAATGAACATTATTAAATGAATGCAATGATAATTGGTCATTCTAAAGCATATAACGTTTCACGTTCATGACATTATATCTTCGTCTAAGTAAATGAAGTTCAGAGCATTCCGTCCAGGATAAATAGATTATATACTGTTTACGTTAAGCCAAAAATACAGATTTTAAGGATTTGACCTAATATAATCTAATATACTATTTGACATCGTAAATTAATCGTTTACATCCATTAAATGCAGCTGAACATTAGAAATTTGGGAAAAAGATAACATTTTCACTGAGAAACGCTGAATGAATTTATGATACACTAAAGTATGAAAAAATAAGGAGAGCAGCTAAAATTTTTCAAATTAATTTTATTGCCTATGAAGGGTAATCTATTTCAACGTATTTTCCAACATATAACTAAAGACGAAAGATATTTGAAATTAAAGACATAAAACAGCATTTTTCGTATTAAATGAATAGGGTTTTAGAATTTATGTTTCGAGAAAAATTAAAGCTGCTAAAAGTATAATAATTGACATCTTTGTTATGTGAAACCAGTCCAACCTCTATTAAGTGACCTAGATAGCACTCAATTTTTGATTCTGAGATTATTGTATATTTTTTATTGTACGAATATTTTTGCGGTTCCAATAAAATTTATTTTCCCACATTTGTTGTTATTTTGTTTTACAAATAATTAATTTTTATAAACATAATAACACTCACTCTTAGGATTCAACAATGACTCCCGGTTTTCAAAGCACTGACATCATCACTTTTCTCATTGTAATACTCATTGGAGGTTTTGCTGCTCTTCTGCTTCAAACAGCGGCAATAAGTCCATATAGTTGGTATCCTCGGGATAATTTTGATTACATAATGGAGAAAATGGCTCGCGCCAATCCAAACAACTGCAGATACCTCTCAGAGGCTGATTTGACACTTCCTATTAATACAGTTAATCAGATGCCAAAATTCAACCAAATCCCTCTCCAAGTTTGGTATGCCAATCGTTCAAAACTGCTCCATCTTCACAATTTAGCCCTCAATCGAGCTTTCTTCTTTTCATACATTCTTCAACGTCTTAATGATACAAGAACTGGTCCAGGTCTGCTTCCTTCTCACATATACTACTATTTTTCTGGAGCTGCTGATCTATCATCTGCGCCTAACGCAGTCAATACCAGTGGAATCTATATGGATACCAACTGTTCTTATGCCAGTTGGTATATCTCCGATAGTGTCAATACTACATTTCCTCTCTTTGCTCCAGTGACGAGAAGATTGGACAATTGGAATGACGAGACCAATTTTCTAAGGATTCCTACAAATGACACAATTGAGGTATGAAATAATTATGTTATTCTATTCAAAACATATTTTTGTTCATTTTCATTATTTGTTTTTCATTTAATTTAAAAAAGCATCAATTAATACATTAAATTTCCTCAACAGTTCGTTATGGAATTTTTTAATGAAAATCTACTAATGTTATTTAAACTAAATAAGTTCCTCATCACTATACCATAATGTTGATATGTTATTAAACATTTCAGTCAAATTGAAATTATCGCATTTATATTTTTGTTGACAGTAGTTTTTGTAGATATTGTTGCAGTTCAAAATAAGAAAAAAAATTCCATGGCAACTCTAATAAAACTTCATTTACATATCCTACTCAGGTGTAGTTTTTTAATATTGATCTTTCTATAAATTTAATTATACAAGACATCATCTTAAGGCAGCGATGGCGGCATAATCGGTGTCGCTTGAGTTGATGTTCACCTGCGGTGAGATTTGTTTACAGCTTAGCGCCAAGCTTGTATAAACATCTGACGTCTCCGTCGCCAACAGGTTCTAGTCACCGATAAAGAAACCGAATGCCATCTTTTATGTAATCAGTACTATAGATAGATTATATCTAATTTCTTTTACTGATTCCTGCATTTGTATAGCATCATTCTTCTATGCTAATATTAATGCTACTGGAGAAAGTGGCATCAATATTTTAAACTTGACCAATCAGGTTAATTTGAAACTGATTTTGAAATATTTATTTATATCAAATGGCAGGCATTTTGATGGTTATCATTAGCCCTTTAGTTGACTTCAGGCTTCACAGAGGGGAAGGAACATCAAAGTGAGAAAAAAAAGTCGAGANAATTTTCAAAAAAATATCTAATTGGGCCACTTTTTGCCTTGATTTGCTTCCTCAGCAGAATTCTTCTTGGCTAAAAAAGTGATGGAGAAAGTGCAAAAAGGAATGGTGTAAAAATGAATGGCAATATTTATTGGTTAATAGTTTTTAGTTTATAACATAGCTTGATAATGGAATATTGGTTAAAAAATATCGTATTCATTTTGGGTACTTATGTTGTTAAATTTTCATTTATATCAAATAGCGGGTGTTTTGTTAGGTATCATTAGCCCTCTAGCTGACTTCCGGCTTCACGGAGGAGCAAGAGGAGGAGGAGGAGGAACATCAAAGTGACAAAACTCGAGAGAGGGACAAAATAATAATGTATAGATGTAAAGGGACCGGCAGACACAAAGGTAGAACAAAGGTGAGGTGAGTACTGTGATAATAGTCGAATATGACATACAGTGGGGTCATGGTAGTTTGAAGTCAGAAGTTGACTCCTGGTTAACAGACTTTTATGCCGTATGAGTATACGCTGCCCAGGATGCACCACGTGGAGGTAAGTCTATCGCATACAGTTGAAATATTCATAAGTTACGTGACCTCAAAGTAGGTACCCCAAGGTAATTAAAATTCATTTGTATATCAGAGATTGCCTCCTTGCCATAATCTGACATACCTGACACAAATATTTTTGGGGTCATTTTAGAAATCATTTTGAATTTGACCTTTCCGAATAATTTAGGTCAATTTTTCAGGTTTGAGTTGATTAATGTAAGTTATTAAATTGCGAGAAATTTTAACAGTTTCATAAAAAATTCGACCTTACACTTTAACAAGGAATGAACAATGAAATATTTATTTATTTCGGATTAATTACTATTAATCAATTTATAGGGTGCTGTGAGAGGTTGCATTGCCATAACTTAGTTGCATATTTAAAATATGGTGGACAGTGTATTGTAGTTTAGAGTAACCAACGCACAAATATGTAAAAATATTCGGTTTGATGAAAGTTCATCGAAACCAGTCGAGTTTGTAAAATAAAAGGTAATAATAGCGAAAAGGTATTATTATTATTACTATTATTATTATTATATCAAATGGCAGGCATCTTGATAGTTATCATTAGCCATTTAGTTGATTTCAGGCTTCACTGAGGGGAAGGAACATCAAAATGTAAAAAATTCAAGAGAAGACGTAGATAAGGTGGAAAAAAGGTGGGATGAGTACTGTAGAAGTGGTTGAAAATGGTATACAGTAGTTTGAAGTCAGCTGCCAGATAATAGACTATTTTGTTGTGCGAGTATACGTTGCCCAGGGTGCACCACGTGGAGGGTAAGTCTGTCACACACCCCTGGCGAAAAGGTATGAAACTCTCATACTGTTTACAGATTAGTTCAAATATACCACAACGTAGAGAAAAAATTTTGACGCAATCATAAGCGCGCGCTAAAGGTAAACATCAAGCTTCATAGCTCCACCCAAATGGTTCAATTTATAAGCATTTTCTCATTTTTTTACCCAATTTTAACTCTTAAAAAAGGAAGCAGCGGTGGTTGATTGGAGAGAAGAAACGTGGAGAATGAAATTAAAAGGGCACTTGGGGGGGGGGGGGTAAAACTGTCCTTGTTCCTCTGGTTTTTGTGCTCATGTTTTCATTATGCGATAATTTAGTCAAATTCCCTTTTTTTGCTAACACAGATTTGAACAATCATGTGAACCAATCAGCGAGCGACAATCTTAATACCCTCTAATCCTACTTAGATTAGTTTCACCCCCCCTCACCTCCTCTCTACCCCACCCCCACCCCCACTACCTCCCCCTCCCTTGCGCACAGCGTTGCATGATGGTAGATGTAAAGGAAGGGGGGGGGGGGGGGGGGGTTGATTTATCATATGCTAATTTCTGGCGGAGATGTTAGTGGTCATGGTGAAGACGAGAGAAAGTAGAGTTTACTGCTAAAATAACTTTCCAATTTTCCGTTTGAGTGATCAGCGTGTAAAACCAGATTTGCTCCGTTGATCGATCGCACTGGGAGAAATCACTTTGGTGAGTCTTAATCGCACTTGAACTAGTTCTGACACAATTGCCTGAACAAAACTATGTATATTCTTTTAAGACATTGTGCTCACTCAACTTACTATTTGAATACCCAACTAGACAATCAGGGTTGTATTTGAATCTAAGGCCACTGGGTTATATTTTAATGCATAAGTAATGAAATTTTATTAACTCCCATAAAATTACTAAAAGCACTACGTTGACTAAGGGACGTAATCGTTAGTTTAGGTAAGTTCCCCATTTCAATTAAATATATAATTACTTTTTAACTGATTTCAATTAATTTGATATGGGGTGGGGTATAGGCTTACCTCCACGTGGCGCACACTGGGCAACGTATACTCATACGGCAAAAAGGTCTATTAACCGGCAGTTCACTTCTCACTTCAAACAACCATCACCACCACTGTATGTCACAGTACTCATCTTACCACTTCTGAGTCTTTGTGTCTGTCTGCCTCTTTTACATCTGCGAATCACTCTTCTATTCCCCTTCCCAAATTCTTCTCACTTTGATGTTCCTCCTCCTCTCAGTGAAGCCCGAAGTCAGCTAATGGGCTAATAATCATCACCATAAAGCCCACCATTTGAAATAAATTAATTAATGTGATATTTACGAAATGAATCGTTGTAATTCAAAACGAACCAAGGAGGTTGAAGTTGATCACATGGTGATGGAAAAAAATATGGACTAGTTCGAACGGCGGTTACTGTTCCAATGGATCTCTGCCTTAATTTGGGAATATCAGAATGGGACACTGGATCAAAACGATATTGCAAGGTCAAGGGCCTTACTGTGCCCTACTTGCATTGAACAAGTTAATCATACTTTTTTATTGAAATAAAGAGTGACTTCGGAAAGACATTATAGAGTTTATTCAAATTAGTCTCAAGTGAGTTGTGGGGAAGGGTGTGGGGGTAGGGATGGGGGTGGGGTATTAATCACAGAAGAAGCTTACAAATATTATTCCAACTCATTTGAGCGAAAGTGAGCAGACTCTCCCTGGAGAACGTCGATACTCCGTTTGGCATAATCCATTCTGACATGTGCGCGCTGCCTCTTCTGCATCTACGAACTTACGACTCAAGGGGGTGGGGTGGGGAGGAGGGGGGTGCTTGATTGACTGTCTATTGACAAATCCACCAATCGCGTAATAGAGAAAAAGGAAAGCAGTAAACAGCACTCCAACACTTGAGAACCCCCCCCCATTGATATAATGGGCTAGCATAGAAGAACTTGACGAAAAGAAGGGAGAAATTGGCGTTTTCCCGCAAATTTATTTATTTCAAATGGCAGGCGTTTTGATAGATATTATTAGCCCTTTAGTTGACTTCAGGCTTTACAGAGAGGAGGAGAAACATCAAAGTGACAAAAAGTCGAGAGGGAGGTTAGAATAATGATTCGCCTATGTAAAAGAGGCAGACAGACAGACACAAAGGCAGAGAAAAGGTAAGGTGAGTATTGTGAAAGTGGTAGAATGTGACATACAGTGCGTTAATTTCATGAAGTCAGAAAGTTATTTATTTATATCAAATGACAGGCGTTTTGATGGTTATCAGTAGCCCTTTAGTTGACTTCAGGCTTCACAGAGGGGAAGGAACATCAAAGCGAAAAAAATCGAGATGGGGGGGGGGAACAGACGAGTGTTTAAAAGACGAAGGTAGAAAAGGTAGAAAAAGGTGAGGTGGTGCTGTAGAAATAGTCGAATACGACAAACAGTGGGGTCATGATAGTTTGAAGTCAGAAGTCGACTGCCGGTTGATAGACTTTTTTGCCGTATGAGTATACGTTGCCCAGGGTGCACCACGTAAGTCTATCGCACACCCCGATTTTGAAATATGAAAATTAAGGAACGCACACGGATGGAAACCTTGACACTTAAAAAATATGGCCTATTACAAATTTTTGCGACTTTTCAAGATTACTAAGTTACACTTAAGGTAAAAATATTACATCACTCAGAAATTTTAGCTTGAAATCGTTCAATAAATATTATTATTTTATGTAATTGAGAACAGATTCAGTACGTTTCTACGATATTTCTCGACCGGTTGAACCACTCAAATAATTTCATGTATTTGGTTTAACACGATTCATGGTGAATTTAAAGATTATTTCATTATAGTTCCACCAACTTAAAAAAGCCATCGATGAATTTCTGAATACCCGCAGATGTTTCTAGTATCGAAGTTGTATGATTTAATGTTTTTGTTAACAGTGCAGTGTGTTATCTCTTTGTTGAAATAAATATCTTTGAACACCATGAATATGCTAGAAGTTTTGGTCATAGTTGGTAATCCTCTCACTTTGTCCCTACTTATAATTACTCATTAATTATATGTGAAATTGAGGGGTGTGCGATAGACTTATCTCCACGTGGTGCACCCTGGGCAACGTATACTCATATGGCAAAAAGTCTATTAACTGGCACTGGAATTCTGACTTCAAACTACCCTCACCCCATTGTATGTCATATTCGACTACTTCTACAGTACTCACCTCACCTTTTTCCACTTTTGTGTCTGTCCCTTTTACATCTTTGAAACTCTCTTCTGTTCCCCCTCTCCCTCTCGACTTGTTTCACTTTGATGTTTCTCCTCCTCTGTGAAGCCTGAAGTCAACTAAAGGGCTAATGATAGCTTTCACAACGCCTGCCATTTGATATAAATAAATAAATATGTGAAATCGTTGTCATTTCACAGGGANGCTTTTCAACGACTATATAAATAAAGTAATTCATTAGTTGAGGCTTTTTTAAAATTCCAAATGTCAGCAGAAAAATTGAGGTTCTCAACTGAACGTATCGGTGCTACCCCGAGTGTTCAATTTTCAGCACTTATTTGTGCTTGAAATAGATTTGCCTTTTATCAGCAACCTGTTAGTAAAGTAGTATACTTACAGTTGATTTTAGGTCATATTAGCCAATTAATGCAAACTTAGGACAAGCTACAGCATTGGTAATGCTAAGAATTGGGTGTGCGATAGACTTACCTCCACGTGGTATACCCTGGGCAAAGTATGTGCACATGTCATATTCCACCACTTTCACAATACTCACCTTACCTCTTTCTTTACCTTTGTGTCTGTCTATCTCTTTTGCATTTGCGTATCGCTCTTCAGTTCCCCACCCCTCGACTTTCTGCTACTTTGACGAACCTTCCCTCTGTGAAGCCCGAAGTCAGCTAAATGGCTAATGATAGCTATCAAAAAGCCTGCCATTTGAAATAAATAAATAATGCTAAGAATATAACGATTCCAAGTAGTTTTGCGATTTTCAACGCCTCGAACATGTTGCACTACAGAAATAAGTAGTTAAGACTTATTTGTGTGTCCTTCTTCAATGACAAGGTAGACAGTTTGCTGAAACCTCACTTGATTTGCAAAAGTTAACAAACATGGTGCTAGGCTGAAAGCATGTCATGTTTGAAAAATGCCTTATGAATAAAGTTGGCCAACAATATTTGTCAGCATAATTTACGGTAGATTAAAATTGAAAGGCAACAGGAACTTGAAACAGCGTTCGCATTTTTTATTCAATTATAAATTGATCGAGTTTACTGGGGTTTTTTTATTGGAGCTTATCTTTAAATCGTATCGAATAATTTAATTAACTTACACCAACTAACGACTCCACTACTCCAGTGCTTTAATTTGATTGGTTACTTTCTTCTGGACTTAAATCAAATTAAATTGGACTGAAATGCGCGATTATGTTAATGTAAATGAAAGCAATTATTTCCTTTGAAAATAAACCGCTCATAGTATTTCACTCCATTGGTCTTAATTAAGCCCTTAATTGAATGCCCTCGGAAATTTCGTTTATTAAGCATAAAATTTTTTGTTCAAATCAACTAAGCAGGTAGATCAGTGGAATTAATAAATTGGAGTCAAGTCATGTGCTTGAAGACGGTCTCCCAGGGAGTAGCTTTCGAACGGAAGACTAACGACTGGGAATTGACGTCAAGATGCCTGCTTAAAGCAGCTATTTTTATGACGGCATATGCGGGGTGTGCGATAGACTTACTTCCACGTGGTGCATCCTGGGCAACGTATACTCATAAGGCACCACGTGGTGCACCCTGGGCAACGTGTACTCATACGGCAAGTAAGTCTATCACGTGGTGCACCCTGGGCAACGTATACTCATACGGCAAACAAACTGGTGCACCCTGGGCAACGTATACACGGCAAAAGAGTCCGTGGTGCACCCTGGGCAATGTATACTCATACGGCAAAAAAGTCTATTAAATGGCTTGGAAACGTGACCTCATACGGCAAAAAGTCTATAAACCGCTGGGCAACGTATACTCATACGGCAAAAAGGTCTATTAACTGCCAGTTGGCTTTTCACTTCAAACTACCATCACCTCACTCTATGTCATATTTGACTATTTCCACAGTAGTCACCTCACCTTTCTATACCTTTATGTTTGTCTCTTACATCTTTGAAACACTCTTCTGTTCCCCCCTCTCGACTTTTTTNTATTTGGTTTAACACGATTCATGGTGAATTTAAAGATTATTTCATTATAGTTCCACCAACTTAAAAAAGCCATCGATGAATTTCTGAATACCCGCAGATGTTTCTAGTATCGAAGTTGTATGATTTAATGTTTTTGTTAACAGTGCAGTGTGTTATCTCTTTGTTGAAATAAATATCTTTGAACACCATGAATATGCTAGAAGTTTTGGTCATAGTTGGTAATCCTCTCACTTTGTCCCTACTTATAATTACTCATTAATTATATGTGAAATTGAGGGGTGTGCGATAGACTTATCTCCACGTGGTGCACCCTGGGCAACGTATACTCATATGGCAAAAAGTCTATTAACTGGCACTGGAATTCTGACTTCAAACTACCCTCACCCCATTGTATGTCATATTCGACTACTTCTACAGTACTCACCTCACCTTTTTCCACTTTTGTGTCTGTCCCTTTTACATCTTTGAAACTCTCTTCTGTTCCCCCTCTCCCTCTCGACTTGTTTCACTTTGATGTTTCTCCTCCTCTGTGAAGCCTGAAGTCAACTAAAGGGCTAATGATAGCTTTCACAACGCCTGCCATTTGATATAAATAAATAAATATGTGAAATCGTTGTCATTTCACAGGGAAGATATCAGAACTGATCGTGGTTAAATCCTGTTGCTTCACATTATATATACAATTATAGAAATTTTCTTCTCACATCAAGCACATATTCTCCTATTTCCTAATTGCAATTATCAACGATCTGACACTCGATAGTGATATTTGACAAGTTGACGATAACGCTTTCAAACTGCATTAGCACAATCGTTCACACGAACTTGACCCGAGTAGATGGAAGCCAGCTAATATCTACTCTTACGAGGTACCACACTCTTCTACGTCTCATTCTAATAAATGCCACGGAGGGGTACATGCTACTCGTAGTGCACTGAGCTGGACTCTGACCTCATGACCCCTAACTTAAGGATCAGACATTTTTCCTTATTTAACTCATAAATACGTTATTTAAATCATATTCACGGTTTCCATTATATGACTAATATATAAACCAATTACATTAATAGAACAATGTCCTTAATCTATTTATCAAATGTCTTGATATAGATAAGTCATTTTCATTCGCTTTGGAAAGTAGCTAAAAAACAAGAAAAATTTGTTAAATAAATTTCCCTAAGAGGTTAATGGATTTGTGTGCCCTTAGTCGACAGATATGGGTGCTGGGCCTTACAGCAACTACACTGCTCCTTGGTATCGTGGCAACTACTTCATTCACGACACAGAAATGGGCATTAACTTCATTCCCGATCATCGCGGCACAGCAATAGGGAAAAATCAATACGCAACTCGAACTCGATTGGCTGATATCCATGGCAACCAATTAGAATCCTTGGAGGCTTTTAATTTCTTCGGTCCAAATGCTCCGGGTATTAAGGAAACGTTCTTGCCTGTGAGATTCACTAGACCTTACTACGATTGTGGTCATAGTAATCGGTGGATAGTGACTGCCGTTTCGGCACTATCAGATTATATGCCTCGATACTCTCCAATCGATCGGCTTAGAGGTCCCAGGTACGCTCTTGTTGTAGAAAGCAGTTGGCATGATTTTGCTTTCCTTTAGAAGAAAGGGCGTTCAAATCTACTTTATAAGATAAAAGGCAACCCTGAAAATTGATTTTTTTATATCCCGTTCTATTATTTTTATGTCACTCGATTCGATTCAAGATTAAATTACTGTTAACTTAAGGGTAAAGATGAGTAGCACCACACAATGGCACTGACAATCACGACTCAAAGCCACTTCGTTCAAGACTGTAAAGGTCACTCATGAATTTGTCCACGAAACCCGCTTGTCAACCTTTCTCGACATCTTGACAGTTGGGGTTAGAGATGGCCAAAAGATAAGCTTTTATTGATTCAATCGTTCATCGTCTAGGCTACTTATCAGGAAAGATTATAAATTACCACGACAACAGACTTTATTGAAATCTGCTAGTTAGCAAATGAAATTGCATGTTTAGCCTGATTATTTGGTCCCCAACTTTATCTTCAGTATTGCTCTATGGTGACCTGAGGTTAGAGTTGGATGTCTAGTAAATCTTACGATAATAATTATCTCAATTATACTTTATAGGATGGTTGGTGTAACTGTCACAAGCATGGATTTCCTTCGCATTGATTTTAATCCATGCCCCCATAGTCTAGGAAATCCAGAATATTTCTTGGCTGGAACGGCTAGATGCAAGCCAACGACTATGGTAAGTATCCGCTAAATTTAAGTAGTACATGTAGAACCACAAGTAACATTAGTTATTTGCATTAAGTGCGTGCCTTTGTCAGGCTATGGCTTCGCTCGAGGGGGCTACGAATGTGTGTGCCAACCAGGTTACAGACTTCCAATGCAACAAAATGGGCCTTTTAGAGGAATAGATATTGAACAGGCGACGGAGGAGGAATATAAGAATGGCTTTGATTGTCTTCCAATCGGTTGGCGTCAAGTTGTCCCTCATGAAATTGCTAGAGATCGTCTCTCCCAACCTGGAGGTCTTGATTCCCTGCCTGTTCAAAGACCAAGGAGATCGTCATGGTACACCACTCCGTACGAATATGCTAAATTGTCGGCCGACTACATCGGATCCTGTACGAGAAATGTCTTTATTAAGTTTCTACTTAATTAATAAAAGTAGAAGGTTAGTTGTTTTTCCTCTTTAGATTTGTCAAAATCGCTCATTGCATTGGGTCTAAGGCAGAAGAGTGAACCATCTCCATTAGATGAATTCTTCCACAAAGTTGACGATACAGCAGGATTTCATGATGCACAGCCCACCGAACCTCCACACGATGCTAGATCTATTTATCAAGGCGTTAATGAAACCTGTTCAGCTGGGGTTATTTCAAACATAAATCCAGAATGTTCTGTGAACGAGGAGGAGACTAAATCCCTAGAGAGGAAACGAAGGGACTTTGTCATTCCCTTCTATTCCATTGGCAATGGATTCACGTTCAATCAAGAAGCCTACGATGAGGTAAAGTAAATTCCAGAGAATAATTCATAATAGTATTTTCATTCCAGCCTTGCTAACATTTATTGAGGAATAAACCACATTAACTTTACATTCTCATTTTCAGCTTACCTGGAGTTCAAATTATTTTAAAATATTAAGCAGGCAATTATAAAATTTACCTTGTGCACAATGACTCTATTTTCCTCCTCTATTAAAGTTATTCTGTCTCGTTAAACGTCTTAGATTTTTCGTAAAAAATACAAGATTTTTTTGAAAATTGATAGGATAAACATGTATGTATAGAAATGGGTATTAATCCATAAGTGTATATATATATATATATATATATTTATGTAGATAATTGTTCCAGGTAAGAAGCCAGAGAAGCAATTATCCGTCATACTTGAGGGTATTGAGAGTAGACAAGATCGTGCACCAGAAAGTGGAAAATTTTCGCCACTTAACTCGGTTATGGAGAAGGTTCTTTGGGACCGTTTTTAAGGCATTTCTGCATC